TGCAACATATAAATGTGAATAATTTACCCTACGACAATTGACTACATGAGTTAGGACGTAGTGGGCTTGGTCTTATGTAGTGCGCTTAGAGTGGATACATGGCAAAACCACTAAACCCTTTGTGTCTCTATGAAAAATTCATCTCGTGGGAAAATTTGAATCCAGGCAAAACGTTCCAGCAGACACGCAAAAGGCATAAATAGAACGGAGAAGATGTTGAAGCGTAAGTCACTAATATTGCACTTAAATCTAAAAGGTCAGCGCAAAAAACTCTCGATAAATTGCTGATAAATTCCAGTGAATAAGGAGAAACCTCAACGAATAACCCCTTGTGGGCACACGTGACCACGGGAAATCTAGTGAACTATATTTGAAGATCTGGTATGACACCTATAGTGCTACACGTACGTTTTGGTGTACTCTCGCACACCTCATTAGTGGCAGTGCCTTTCGGTCCAATCGAGCCCATACATATATGAGAATCGGCGCTGACCATGTAACACTGCACGTCGAGTGATAAGTGATCTTATCACTTGACATTGCAGTAACAGTCGATTGCTAATGGCTGGTAAAACGCTATAGATGCCATATCAAATGTTATGAAAGGCTTAAAATATGCTATCAGATCATATTGTTCCAAAAGAGGTCTCAGAAAATCGATTAGAAAGGTGGTATATGCGTTTTACCAGCATCGGGCATCCGACTATCACTGCAATGTTAAGTGAGTAGATCACTTATCACTCGACATGCATTGTAATATGTTCTTCGCCGATTCCCATATATGTAGGGGCTTAGTAGAGAGATAGCTATGATAGAGACATTGAAGAATGAGTAGTAGCGAAACGATGCCTCGGTGGCGTAGTGGTAGCACGCGTCCACAGTATTGGTGAATCGCGAATTCAATTCCCGTCTGAGTCTAAATCTTCCTCACCACTCGCAGGTATATATGTAGAGGCCCGGTTTGACTGAAAGGCACGTTGTACTGGTGAGGTGTGAGAAAATACGTCGGAACGTACGTCTAGCACTATAGGTGCTATGTCAGCCCTCATGAAAGACTTGAAATGCGCTCTCTGAATATATTTAAAGATATTCGTGAAATAAGATGACAGTCCTTTAGTAGTATCCGAGCTTACGTACAAAAAAAGTTATGGAAACTTTCGTGGACGACAAACGCGGGGAACAATTCGAAAGCGCGAACAGTTAAGATCTGCACAATAGATGTGAAAGACGGGTTATGTAAAATAAGAAATGGAAATTGTCTTATCTTGAATAATCGAATTAAAATAATCAGAATTCCTCTCACTTCTTTTGGTTTCAACAACATTAGATGTAGAAAAAATTTATCGGATCGCGAGAACACTTGCTTTTGTTGTATTCATATCATCATATCACTAGCATCGTGTAGGATGAAAATTCCTTCACAAAATGTAGAAGTTAAAGCTCTCGGCGTTGAACAATTCCTCAGGGATAAGCCATGCATCCAACCTTATTAGCTATCGTCAGCGTGATTGAATGAGCACGTGGCCTCTTCGATGAGTCACGGTGGCCCACGGATGTATGAACGACTGTGGTACGGGATCAAACCTATAACCACGTGTATATTACAGTGCAGCTATAACCACTGAGCTACAATGTCATCAATAATGTCCTAAACTTTCTTTGATCATTTTGAAGTGGGAGAGCCATCAAAAAGTTGTATAAGCAAAGAGGGCATATTCGAAATTTTTTCATAATACGAAGCATTTGTCGGGGCAACTTGTCGTTCTATGCAAGAGCATTACCACTAGCGTAGGGAAATGTTCACGTCACGTTACATCAATCCATTAAAACCATAGAGTGTCCTCTAATGAATATAATGCTTTCATGGAATGAGAACATAGGGGTGCGTTATTTACTAAAGTGCCCGGCAAGCCCACGTTGTTGACGAAATTGTTCTCATGCGCGAATGTGATTTTCAGAAGTTTATTTTGTGCACAGAGCCTTTCTTGTTATTCTTTCTATGCTTAGTCAACAAACTCTCGTATCGGAAGCGTGGTATTAGACATGATCCTACAGAAGCCATGTACAGTCTCCAGTATTTTGCATTTAGACAGTGATCTTTGGACAGTTTTGTTAATGAAGCCATAGAAAGTCTTGTAGGTTGGAAGTGTGCAACGACACCCCACCATTGGGAGCACCACAGAAGAGGAATTACTAAGATGTCTCAATATTTTGGATTGCTGATAAACATGCAATAGATTGTTATACCTTCACTGTGGCTCTTCTTAGTCTTCGACTGAATCGTGTCGAATGGTAGGCCTCTTATGGATACCACGTCTTTCTAGAATGTGTTGAGATAGTCCACAGGAACGAATTCACACGCAGTCCCACGTAGGAGGTACCAAAAATTAGACATCGTCGTGAATGTATAGGATGAGAATAGGTCGAGTGTAATGATTAATGCCTGCATACCACTGTTTGTCGACTTTGTATTCATCTCAGGAACATACTTCCCTTTAGGAACAAATTTATGCGCGATCTTAAGTTTCGAAATATGTCAGATAATTACTTTTTGAGCCATGCATGTGGTCTGTTATATAGGTCAGACTTATAGAGTCCGATACACGTGTTTCAACCTTGGCAATCTCATCAGTCGGGCGGTACTCTTTTCGTTTTTAGCCAATCCTCTTGGGGCGCTCAGTCTACTATGCTAAGAGTAGGCGACGACGAATAGTGAAATTATCACTGAATGGGCAGTGTAGTAAACTCGATTGCTTTTAACTGGTATCGTCAATATATCATATCCTTTGTTTCGAGTGTTTTCTTAAGACCATGCTCAAATTTCAATATGCCAGATAATCACTTTCTGAACTACACATGTGGTTTGTTATTTAGAGTAAACGTAAAGGCTCACTTTCACCTTTAATACGACTAGAATGGATCTATTTCCAAGAAATTTCAAGTGAAGATGTTATCTTATTGACTGAAGAAGGGACTAACTACGAGCAGACGTAAGCGAGTGGTACTTCAAATTTGATAGAATGTCGGGAAATCTACTGCTAAGGTAAAGGACATCGACATACGTTTTTATCTGCATGGTTCTTCTTCAAATTACCGTAGAAAAGCATTTCGTTGGCATAATTTGTTTTGTATATTCTCACGATCAGTGGAGAGGAAGTGCGCGTGTAGCGCAGTGGTTAAAGGTCTAGAAATTGATCTTGACACATCATGTCACTCAGTCGTTTTCAACATGATAACAGTCATTGATGAAAATCTATAGAGAGGAAGACGGAAACTATGTCGAAGTATGTTCGCAGGTGCTCATTTCGTCATAGCGCCAATGCTGGCGAGATAGCGACATTGGCTCAAACATCTCCCCCTCTCGCGCTTATGTGAATCCATCCGCTTGGCATTGCTATTCAGTCAACACAAATTGGTTAATTCAGCACATGTCTATGTGTTTTCTCCAAGGAGAATCTAGCGCATTACAGAGCTCACCTTCTACTCAATTATGAATCCCGTAAGTGTCCCTTTTCGTTGCTTCGTCCATCAGATGTATTTTTTTTACAGTCGTTAAACAACAAATTTGCCTCTGTGTATTATTGAGAGATTATCGAATGCAAGCAAAATTTCCAGTCTGATTGTGCCATTTACGGCGATATGGTCTTACGCCTACATCAAACAATTCTATATTCACTGTTTCGGATATCTCAGTCACATTCCTTTTCTATAATCTTCCACAATCATGCACGTCATTAAAATCATTTGATGTACTCGTGAGATTGTGTCTGAGGAACAATAACGTTCTGATATACGTAAAATTGACCAGTTAAATCCGCTAAGAAAATCTTAACTTCATTAGAATATTCGTGACGACCGTGACCTCTACTGAGGTCATTTTCTTACCGAAGGTTTGTTTTCGCGTGCACAAGTCTTTCCTCTACCTCTCATAATAATCAATAGCTTATTCAGTCTTTTGCGGCAAATCTTATTCTTTTCTACTGCACCAAGTACCATGATGTCTTTACTTTTATCTCCATCTCTACACTTAGTTTTGCTAAGGCGTCATGATTTCCGTTTGATTTCAAATGGTGCTGTGGAGCATTTGATGCAGTCTGAGTGGTTTTTAGTACATGTGCTTCACTTCCGTTTACACACCAATTTTCGAGCATAATTTGTATTTGAATCAATGAGAAGTTTTATGAACTGTTCTTTTCTTCAGATTAAACCAACTCGAAATGTATGTCACCCTCAAAAAGGTAGCTAACGCGTTGAAAAGACCTGACCGTTTTTCGACGACTTCTTATCGTTTTGCTTTTTTTTTTCAAGAAAAAGAAATCGGAAGTACAAAAGGATGAGAAAAGCAAAACTAATACAAGTTTTATCTCAAGAAATAAACAGTTTTTAAGATAATTTTCAATACTTATGTTGAGCATTAGTAGCGGTGGGTTCTTCAAATTATTATAAGCAGGATTTTCGATGGGAAGTCTTTTTGAACGTTTTGTTACCCAGATGTTGTACTCATTATGCTTTGAGACCGCCGTTTTCTTGATATCAATTAACGGGACGATTCTCTTCATCGTCATTAATTCTGATATGATTATTTACGTATCATAATGACAAGGTATCACCAAGACTGCTATCAGTGGCGATATTATGATGTCTCTTTGTGCAAGCATGAGTACTTAATAGCTGCTAATCTTTACATTCTGTAGAGCAACTCATTATTATGTAATGTTATTTGGTGACCTCCACAATCTCTGCGCAGTTCAATGCACTGATAATCTAAGAGAATTGAGTGGTGAGCAAATACAAAAAAAATTCTCTTAGGTGTAAATGTAACATCATAACACTGCGAAAAAATCAGTAAGAATACTAGAATTTTGAAGTATTACAGATAACATTGGCTGTCAGCTCAACTGGGTTTATAAATCGAAATGGCATACCCGACCAAACCTTGTTAAGGGCGGTGGCTGATAGCTGACATAGAGATGTTAAAGAATCAGTGGTGGCTCAAATGTGCCTCGGTGTTGTCATGGTATCAGCACGCGTCCGCGGTATGGATAAAACGCGAGTTCGAATCTCGCCTGAGGCCGTGTTTTTGCTCTCCACTCAATTCGCCTAGGTGTATATGTAACAGCATAACACTGCGAAAAAAGCATAAAAATACTAGTTTCGAAGCACTGTTCATCTGTTAAACACTTACCATCTTTCCGTTGGAGACGGTAGGCGTGCCGATAGGATGACCTTCCAATAAAAGTTGCAACTTCTTTGCAGCTCATAACGAACAATTTTTGGGAAAAGAATAATTTGATTATGAAAGCCGACGTTAATAGAGACATGTTTTTTGAATGTGTATAGTACTTGGATATATAGCCCGCCCGTCTTCATTGCTAATGCGTGCCCACTATAAATTCCATTCGCTTTCCGCTCGCACAATTATCGTCGATGCTGGTGGTCTGTTCCGAACGTTTAGACGTATGAGAGGGCCATTCCGTCATTTAAAGTTCGCTGCCTTTCTGCAGATGCACACTGCTGACGTTGGCCCAAAACCATCTGCCCATCGTTTGAATGCTAGTCAAGAGGACGTTTACACCTTTGAAGTCCACTCCACTATTCTTTTCGTGCAACTGCTTGAGCCCCAATTAAAATCTGATAGACTTCGCTCGAGTGAATTGTGGATGGTGTGCAGATTTCTTAACGTCGTTGAAGTATCAGCCTGCCTCTGCTGCACAACAAAGAGCTGAGAGGACTTTTGAATCGAAAAGAAGCACGGAGTTTTGAGTCAGTTCTTTGATCGAAAGCCTCTTTGAAAATTCCGGATGCAGCTTATGCTTTCGATCAGTCTACCTTCACACCAGCGATTTTTATAACTTTAATCTTTTTCTGATCAAGCGTATTCCAACCTTTTTCTCCGTTTCGTTATGTTCACTGAACATCTTCTCTACTTCACTGGTACTTCTCAAAAAAATAACGATGTTATCCTCGAAAAGAAGATTTAATGGAGAATTTTCGTCAACACTTATGTCCCTTTCATCCCAATCGAGCGACGTCATTATCTACTGCAGTGATGCTGTGAACTGCTTTGCCGATAGAGTATGGCCTTGTCGAACCCCTTTTTCTTATGTATGGTGAGAGGTCGATGTAAAAGCCATATTACTGAGCTGTAGTATCCATAGCAGTCAACTAATGTTCCATGTACGACGCGTCTACACTTTGGTTGAGGGGCGCTGGTAAATTGCATGCATTTCGATGCTGTCAAACGCTCTCTCAAAGTCGATGAAGGCGATGACAAGGGAGAGATGGTATTTCCGACAGACTTCAGTGACCAGTGAATGGTTTGAATGTGGTCCATGCAGCAGAATTAATGTTGAATCCTGCTCACTTAAGTGGCTGCGCCTCATTCAAGGCCTTCGATATGCCCAGAAGGATTTTTGGGAATTGCTTCTAGATTACACTTAATAAGCATATCGGAGGGTCGCTACAATTATTTCTTCTGCCACCTTTCTTAGGTAGTATAACTGAGCGCGGATTCTTTCACTGGTTTGGGACTTTTCTTTCTGATGGTACTATGTTATATGGTTTCCATAAAGTGAATGTAGATTGTGGTCTCCAGTTCTAAGGAAATCGGTGGAAATGATGTCAAGTCCTGCACCCTACCTGTGTTCATGCGTTGTATCGCAACTCGCACTTTAGAGGGCAAAATGCACATTAAAATATTTACAATAATACACCCTTCTCAAAGACAGATTTAGTTGTTTCTATACGGGATTCAACAACCACAAGACATTCGTGGGCATACGAATCATATGTAATTCGTAGTATGGTTTCTAGTAGCTTCTGAATAAAGTTTTCGGCATTCTTTTTCGGATTGTTCATTCATAATTATTGGAAATTTGATTTGATTTCCCTATAATGTTCTTTAACTCAAGGCTCGCGATATCTGTGGAAATCGTCCATTAGGTGCGAAGATGATAGACTTTTTCAGCTTCAAACAAAATGTTCACCTCATGGAGAAGTCTATAGGGTAAAGTAAAGTTCAATCAAATCTGTGAAGCGTTTGAGAGCGCTTTACAGATGATGTTTCCAATCCGACATTCCGACTTTTCAAAATCACTTATATATCTTTATATTTTCTTCTTTATTTTTACTTGTGAACATCAGTCAGAAAAGTGAAAGCTCTGATCCAACAGGAATGTTCGAAAGTCAAACAATGGCATTTGTGAATGCCCCATTGACTAAATGTTCCCAAGATATCATTTTTAATAGGTGTTATTTAAAATTGAAAAGAATCAGCTCAAGGAGACTTTCACAAACCGATGTTATTCTAGGAGGGATAGCACGCTTGGCTTGCCGGAATCGTGGTCGCAGCTCAGACCATACCGTTTGTATTGCATGAAATTTAAAACTACTGTTCTTCCGACACCATGTTTGACGATGAACATTAAAAAAAATACTACATTTTCAAAGGCTAAAGATGAATGTTTGATTGAGGTTACAAGAGACATTTGAATAAAGAAGATATTATAATGTTCATACTAGCTGTAAGGCATCGACTGTACGTAAGGTGGCACCAAGTGATTTTTTTTCACTTGATAACAGTTTAGCATTCTTCGGCGCTCGTTCTCTATAATAAGGGGCGAGAGTGGCCGAGAAAAGGCACTGATGATGACAAACCGCTGAAAGGCGCGTCTGTCGAATTGTTCCCACTCGAAAAAGCGGCTAGAAACATTTTCAAGGACCATATATGAATGTTTTATCGAGATTCTGAGAAACAGTGGATTAAAGAAGGTATTACATCTTTTTCAACAAGCTAATTTCTGGAGAAGAGATAATGACCGAAATGCTAGCTATCAGAGAGCAAACTCAATTAATTCAGGTGTAATACTGGGACATAAAAGTCGTCATCAAGAAGAGGCAAGTTTAATATTTGTTATAAGACAAAATCGTCTCCTTGAAACCAGTGAACACTCTGGAAGGATTTCAGCAATTGCTTTTTTAGTAACAATTAGTTTGCACAGTCCGAATGTGCTGAAATAGGCACGACTTCATACTGAAATTTCGTATAAAAGAATATATTTTTTCGATCGAAAAATACCGCATCTGGGTGCTTCCGTCGTGCGTCGCGCGCTTACCAAACTATCTATCCCACCGAGACTGACAACAGCATTGACTTAATGCACCGTTCTCATGTGATTGCTTGGACCAAATATGAAATTGAGCTAACGATGCTCAATGATGTCCAAGTATGATGGAGATTGTTAAGCGCCAAAACCTTTATTCTTTCTGCCTTTAATTACGAATTTGTGATGGATGATTGTGTTGCTGCTAGTGTTAAGATAAACGCATCACCTTCTATCGAAAATAAATTTCTCTTTGTAGAGTAAGTTTACAGAATTGTATCGCATGAAAATATTAACATATACTATGGCTTGGAATTTCGTCAAATATCTCCACTGATTGCCTTCTTGATGCCGGTGTTCTTTTCATATAAAAATTTGGCAATAAGGTCTGATACACAGTTTTCAAGCCTTTCACAGGTCTAGTATGACGTCTCCGGTGGTATACGTATTTACGTTTCGGCGTTCTCTCACGCCTCATCAATACCACATGCCTTACTAATATGGTTCACCATATAACTAATAGTAGCGGCGCCAAGGACACATCTCTGTGCACAAAATGAAAAAATCACTTGACGCCGGGGACTGTACTGATTTTTCAGTCAATGGCTTACTGTTGGCAGCAAAGCATGTGGCGCTACCTTCCAATCGACTATGTTTCAGACCTCGCTGGAAAATCCAATATAATCTGATGGAAATTGGCAATGAGTACACTCTCATTCATCAGAAGGATATTTATTTACCCTACACGAGCCTGACCACAACATGAGTTACCAAGTCATCATTCGACGATACATCAGCATTGAGATAAAGAGCAGATCGGGAGCACACTATAACGAAAACGTTACCATTGCCACTTTCGAATATGTCTTGAAGAACTAGATGCTCGATAATATATTTGTGTAGATTGATGATTGGTACAACTGGTGTTTATAATGCTCTATTCTACTGAAATAGAATGAATAACTCGGAATATCACTATTAATTATGCGTGTGAAAATAAACATAATTAGCGACTTAGCTCAATAGCTTGAGAGGAATTAGATGGATAGTCTGAAAAGAGAAAATTGACGTTTTTTCGAGGGATAAAAAGAGACCCAATTTTCTATTGCGTGGTTCCTCTTGCAATCATGTAAGCTTCGGAGACTTAGGCCCTTCATAAGCAGAACAATGTGGCTGTTTTCATTGATGTCTTTATTTCGAGGATAATAATAGAAATTCCATCATTCTGACCTGTAATCTAAAATCATAGACTTCGTTGCCTGTGTTGAAAGGACGGAAATTAGGTGGGATCTTGACATGTGGTATGTTTCAACGTCAATCACTGGAAACGAGCAATTGTAATGACTTTTTATGGTACGTGAAAAGCAAGATGAACTACTTACGATACAGTGGTTGGTTTTTTAAACGCATTACATGGTTCCCCCTGCTATGCTGATGTCACTTTTCGGTTTCGTGTCAGTCAATCCTAATATCCCTCCAAACTAAGTGAACTGATGCCAGACCTGCTTAAGAAGAACTAGTTCCAACAGAAAAATATTGTCGGCTGTCTCTGGTAAGGTCTAAGCACTTGGAGATGCTTGTTACGGCTATCCGATAATTCTAGGAAGCATTGACTTAACTAGTTAGCAACGCTCACAAAAAAGACCATAAACGTCAAACCTGCAGCCGAACACATGAAATTTCAAAGACCCTCCTGGAAGAAGGTTACGAAGACGAATATGATCCATGTGCTTATCGTTAGAATATATGATGACAGAAATGCAAAAATATTTATTTCTGAGATTGCGTAGAATATATTGCCCTCATCCAGTATTCCGGCAATTCCACAATTAGCGTCCGTCCTATAAGAAATGTATTAACAATTCGAAAAACCTACTTGTGCTTTTGAAGAGGTTCGCTCTAGGTGAAAACGTGGTGACGTTCTAGTAGGGGCTATTTCACCATATAGAAAAAATCGTGTTTGAACAACCGT